AAGATGGAGCTGAATATAAACAGAAATATACAGAGGGGAGAGGGGGACGACAGAGATGCTCTGTCTCTGGGGCCAATTTAAAGCAGCAGCACTGTGTGTGTGTGTGTGTGTGTGTGTGTATTTGTATGCATGGACTTTGTGGATTGGCAGGACTGTAGTCAGAGTCAGGGAGGCGACAGCAGCTCCTCAGCTCCCACTATTGATCTCTTCATGTACCTGCTGCTGGAGGAGCCGGGAGTTTTTTAAAATTTGATTTATAAAAACATACAATATTAATTTGACCAAAACCAGAGGATGGATAAAACACCTTACTCACTCCTACATGTGTACTCCTGTGTACTAGTCGTACATTTATCCTTTAACAGTTACAGGTCACAGAATGGACGGGAAACAGTTTAAAAAATTGAAGGGAAAAACAACACACCCTGCTGTGATGAACATCTGCTCATGTCAGATCTCAGCTCCCTCTGGTTCATCAACTTTTTAAACCGTGAACCAGCGCTTCAAATATTCTGCTCTTGAAGTACCAGCAGTATGACATTCAGTACACAGGACTAGGAAGAAAAATACTTAAAACAGTAGTAAAAAAAAAAACAAATATTAAAACGTGAAAACCAAAGAAACACTGTTCACCACTGTACTCACCTGTACCACCAGTTGGACACAGGCCGTAGCTTGACAACCACTGTTCAGTAGGTAATCATTGTAGAAACTATGATGTTGCAGAGACACAACAGCAGGTGTTACAAAGCCGTGGCTGGCGGACTGAAATGTTACCCACGACCTCTGGTCATAATGAAGACGAATGACAAGTGAAAAGAAACAGATTTCCACGATCCGACGGGTCGTCCTGTAGCTCAGCTTAACGGTGCGTTCAAGTGTCTGTTGGTAACATGGACACGAACACACACCCACCTGTGAAGCCCACGTGTCACCCCCGGTGGTCCTGTGTGTTCTTATCAGTGTGGTCACTGCTGGACGACCTACAGGTCATCACTGAAGTTGACGGGGATTTTCCTCCTTTCTCCCCCCTCCGTCTCACCTCTCCCCTCTTTGGCACCACTCTGCCTCACCAACATGTGATTAACCTGTGGGTTGGAAACGCCGCTCCTGTCCACTCGGTGTGAGATTACATGGCCTTGGGATATTGATATTTCCATGTAAATGAGGACACATGAGCTGTGGTGCGGAGCAGCCAGCTGCAAAGACCGGTTTATTTTCAAGCCAGCGCTCAAAGCTCCAGACTAATTTAACAGTTGTTACAAAAAAAACACACTGGGATTTTGGGAGATTGGCCCACTGATGAACTGGCCTGCTAAGTGATGAGAATACACACGTCTAAATTGTCTGCGTGCCCTCCATGGTAACAGCGTTCCTAGCTGCTGTGCAGTGTCTTCACGTCCCAGTATTTAATCAGGTGCCTTGGCACAGAGGAGCGGAAGAAATTGGAGAAAGATGTGAGTTCACACAGAGCTGGATGGATCAGAAGTGTGTGTGGGCAACACACTCCCAGACAACAATTCAATAAGCAACTGTGCTGTGTGACGGCAGTGGGAGTTGGATTCTATCATCAGAGTAGTATGGATTTTACAAATGTACAAAAACATGGAGTGGAGTTTCACCCGTGGTTAACGCTGAACACTCTGTCACCAAAGTCAGGGAGTCTGGATTCACTGGAACAAAGTGGAAGGAAACGCTTTTTTGTGTGTGAAAAATTTCCCAAGAATTATTTAATATAATTATATTCATATAATAATTGAATTTATTGACTTTTACTTTTGGATATATTTTTAATATTTTTTTTTTCAAAACCTAGTTCCTTAATAAATATTAACTATTTAACTAACCTTTCTGTTAGCTTTAAGGACAGGGTAAACTTTGGAGGATACATTTTGGAGTAATGCATCCATTCTTTGGTTAGTTTGACATTTATCATTGATGACTGTGAGTATTTACCTAAAAACTAAATGAAGTTCATTCTTTAATCCCCCCCAAGTTGCAGAAAAGTATTTCTCATTGATGACTGTGAGTATTTACTACCCCCCAAGTTGCAGAAAAATAATAATAAAAAAAGTTACATCAATGCAATAAATTCTAATTTGACATCAACTAATTTGGTCACAGTAGATTCAAACATGTGTCAAAGTCAGACAGCATCAGGAATCATGTGATTCCAGTGGTGACACTTTATATTTTTCACACAGAAAAAAGAGTTCTTTTCAAATGACTGAGGTTCAGAGTTAATGCTGTGGCGTCCTCGTGTCAAAGGCCAAGACATTAGTGTGATTCCAGAGGAGCTGCAGACAAAAGAAAGACGTCAGTGGATTCTTTGGTTTGTGAAAAAAACAAAACAAAAAAACAGGGAAAAAAACGCAGCCTGCCTTTTGAAGCCAGTAAAAAATGACAGTGGTTTTATCAGAGCTTGTTTGATGATTGTTTTGCCTGTTGTGGCAGGAAACACAGTTGATGAAAGCACTGAGAGGAAGTCGGTAAACTTGTGGGCCGTAAAAAGGCAAACATTGCCCCCGGACGTGTTGTAAAGCTCGGTGGAGCCGAGGGGAACTGCGGGGCCGAGTAATAACTCTTTGCAGGTTTATCACCGTTAGTGACCCACTTTTATTTTGATCTATTAATAACATTAAGACTGTGATTATCACCTTTAATGAAGGACAGCGAGGTGCTGTTTGTTTTTGGTGTTCTGTTGTTTAATGGCCTCAACATGTTGTTTTACTGACGTCCTTCCAGACTCCAGTGGTGTTAGCTGTTGCCTTTATAGTTTCCAGTGTTTGTCCTCAGTGACTGGTCGTGTTCTGTCCCAGCGTCTGACAGTTTGAATCTGGAATAAAGATCACCTGGACAGCCAACGATCTGAGACTGAAACATCACTGACAGCAGTCGACACCTGAGTTTGGCCTCCGTCTACAGAGACGAATACTACTGCAGAGACGAATACTACTGCAGAGACGAATACTACTGCAGAGACGAATACTACTGCAGAGCAGAATACTACTACAGAGCAGAATACTACTGCAGAGAATACTCCCTCCTGGTTCTAGTTAACAGTGATTTACACAAACATCCCTTTCGAGACGAATACTACTACAGAGACGAATAATACTACAGAGAGGAATACTACTACAGAGGATACTCCCTCCTGGTTCTACTTAACAGTTATTTACACAAACATCCTTTTTGTTTGATAATTAAGGATCAGAACATGAATAAAAAAACATCTTTTATATTTATTCTGTATCAAGTATCAGTTTGTCAAACCAAGTGAAGCCGTTAGACTGTCACGCAATTTCTTGCAGGGCCAACAGGGGGAAACAAACGTACCTGTTGGCTCAGTAATCACATCACTTGTTTAAAGGTAAATTCAAACAGTTTTTCTCCCTGTGAGGAGGACAGGTCTGTCCCCCTCACACACTGACACAGGTGGGTGTCTGTGTGACTGTTGACGGTCTGTGAACCCAGGGTGAGATTCAGTGTGAGATCCTGCAGCGTCAGTGTCCTCAGCTTCAGAGGAACCATGTCTTTGATCAGTGCAGGGTTTCAGGGAGGGTGATGTCAGAGGTAGGATCATTTGGAGCTAATACACAGTTAATAACAGAGTTATCAGTGGTCTTCAGTCTGACGGGGACAGACCAGTGAGACGGAGACGGTGGAGACAGACGGTGTCCACTTGTGATAGGAATTATAAAAACAACGTGTTTCACCCCAAGTGGATGAAGACTAATGAGATTCAGATTGAACAAAAAGTGAAGACTAGCTGTGGTCAGGTTAGAATACACAAACACACATGCTGACAGTAGCTCTTTATTCCATTAACACACACACACACACAGAGAGAAAAGGACGGGCGTGCTGACGCACACGGCCACCAGAAAAAAGCCCAGTTTAACAAACAAAAGTAACAAACCCAAATCTACTTAAACCTGAATTAAACATTTTATCGTGCTTTAAGCGCATTTCTCCGCAGCCATCGGATAAACACACAAATATATTGAGAAATACGTTCCCTCTGTGAAACGTTGTAACGATTATCGGATTATCGTTTCATCTTTTGTTTTGGAGGAGCCGACTTGAAATTCCAAACAGATCGGGATAAAAGGAGGCTTTGAAGTTTGATGACTGTTTAACTCCGCTCGTCCTCGTCTTCCTCCCCGCTCTCTTCAGATTTCTTCTCTGTCGTTTCAGACTTTTTTTTATCTTTAATCTCTCCGTCTGTGTCCAGGCACTGACCTACTGACGCTCTCTCCAGGGTCAGAGGTCAGGACGGACTCTTTACTCCAGGAGAGTCTCCTTGATTAAGACGTCCTCCTTTTATTTGCTCCTTTCTTCACCTCCACTCCTCCTCCTCCTCTGCTCCTCTCACATGTGTTGCGGTCGTAACGCTAATTGAGCGTTCCTAAACATCCCAGAACCTAATCCCGCTCTGATGCCTTGGTTCAATTCCACAGTCAGATTACGGAGCAAATTCCTCTCAGACTGACTGGTGGATGAGGGCATATAAACACTGAGCTGAGTGAGTGTGTGTGTGTGTGAGTGTGTGTGTTCTCTTCATTCGTAGATAACTGGGTCTTAAGATAATATGCATGGAAAAGCATTGTTGATGGTTGATGGAGAAATAATGAAACGATTATATTAATTAAGGTGAGATTCAGCGTTCATGATCTGGACTGAAAACCAGGTTCAGTTCCTCCATGTTTGTAGTCCTGTTGCTGGTGTTTAACCTCAGGAGGATTTAAGTGACTTGTCGTTCTCCTTCCCACCGAAATATTTAGTTCCTCCAGATTATATAAAGTTCTCTTTTAGCACAGCTTTGTTTTACAGAGAGATTTGTAACAAAGACGTCGTAGTAAAGACAGTGTTTGTTCGTCAGGTGGTAAAATCACCAAATATATATATATAAAAAAATCAAACCTTTGTGTCTGTAACAGCTGGAATAACACCAGGAATAACACCAGGAATAACCGTGGTTATTCCCTCTTGTGTTGCAGCTGTCTCTCCGGTGACATCGTCCCGTCTTGACAGATGACATGGATAATTGTGGGCGACGCAGCAGCAGCAGCACTGGCACACACAGGTAGGAGTGGAGCAGGTGTGGATGATTACACTGATTTTCTTTGATTGACACCAGATTGTGAACGACTGCAAAGTGAGCAGATCATTTTACAGTAGAGCGAGGTGACGATGGTTACAGCTAAACCTGCAGCGCTGGCTTTCCCACAGTTTTTATAGGTGCTTCAAATACACACTGGAGAATGACAATAACATGAAGGAATGAATGAATGAATGAATGAATCAATGCTACTCAGGCAGAAGATACAGAGACACGATAACATGAAGGAATGAATGAATGAATGCTAGAAGATACAGAGACACATGTGTGATGTTACAGTCGAACACTTCCAGCTACAGTCAGGTTGTTTGTTTTTACTCAGCTGATCAAATTACGAGGTTTTTGAAGAGTGTGTCACGATAACTTTTTTAGCCTTGAAAAAACACCAAAAGAAAAATAGACAAAGAATGACTAACAGTTAATTAAATCAGAAGAGAGACCAATGAATCTGTAGGTTTAACATAACCAAAACACTGGCGATGAGCCAAAATGTAAAACGATTTGAAGGATTGTTTGTTCGTTTGACCTCTGACATCCGTCGATCAGCAGTGATTTGAAAATACATTTTATCACCAGAAAGACCAGATGTGTGGACTTTTACCGTGTCGGCTCCCTTGACTTTTCAGCAGTGAATGAAATGACCACATGAAGAGAACCACATCAGGCATTACAATAACATACAGAGCTAAGAGGATTAGCCGCTGCAGTCGAACCCAACACCTCAGTGTTTCGACCACGGCGACACGCTCTAATCCTACAAATAGCTTCTTCTATGTTTTTGTGTGTTTAATCCCTAAAACCCTGCATCTAAAGTTGCAGACACAACTTTTCTGGGTTTTTTTCTGTATTTAAAAAAAACCCAGCCACTTAGATAAACCGCAGAGAAAACAGAAACGTTGGCGATTAGCCCCCCACGGAGAGGCTCAAATCCATTTCCTCTTATTCAGCTTTTAAAGGTCCAGACCCTGAAGTAGCAGTAATGGCCGACTGGAGCAGTGATTCATGTTGTAGTAATGATTCATGTTATCCTGCTTAGCCCCCAACAATCCCACCACCCTCCAAACCAGACATAGGTTGTAGCAAAACATAATTAATGGGGCTCTATTCTCCACACACACCCCTGTGTGTTTCGCCCTCTCCAGGAGCACCGAGTTTGTAGCTGGTTATCAGTCATGTCTACATTTCCTGCCTGTAATTTGAACTGGGGCGGACCACTGAAAAAGCTGACCTGTGGGTAGCTAAATGACACACACACACACACACAGAGAGACAGAGTGAAGTGTGTGAGACTGCGTGAACATGAGGTCACGGGGTCATCACATGTCAAGGAAATCTCAGAATGTGAGTCCACAGCAGCCACCAGCTGTTTATTGACGGTCCAGGCTCTCCGTCAGGAATGTTTGGCTTGGTTTTCGTGCAACTCGGCCATTTTTCATTACCCAGCTGTGCCACCAGGGCGCCATATGTTCATTACACAGCTGAAGGGCAGAGTAATATACAGCAGCTCCTACGCCCTACCATGTGAAACCTTTTTATTTTGAATTATAAAAGCATGAGAAGCTACTGGCCACTCTCACCCCCTCACCCCCTCAGTCTCTCACCCTCTCACCCTCTCATCATCCTCATCATCCTCAAATAGACTTTAATTACTGCACCCTCACCCCCTCATCATCCTCATCGTTCTCAAATAGACTTTAATAACTGCAGAATATATTGAATTAAAGGAAATGTGAAAAGGAAGAGTCAGAGAGTGTTAGTTTAATTTTTAATTCTTAAAAAGAAATAAACAACAACCACTGATGACCAAAAGTCCAAAATTAACCTTGAAAGATCAGTGTTTACCTGCATCAACACCAGTGCTAATGTTCTGCTAACGTCCACCTTAACATCTGTCATACATGGATCTGCCGTGTGTAAAAAGTCAAAGACGTCATTAGTTCTCTGAACGCCACCTGTTCAGTCAGGAGTTTGATGAAACATTAAAGCCTGAATAACAGTAGTTGAACAAACACTGGACTAAACCTTAGCCTCAGAAACAGTTCAATGTTAGCCGCAGAGATGCTAAAGGTCGTCACCTTCTGTTGGGTCTGCCTGTGTTTGCCATTGTCTGCTTCTGTAAAACCTCCCATAATGCAACAGAGGTCCGAGCCTGCTGTACCACACACACAAACACATCTGTTTGTGATTCTCACCATGAAACCAATGGGATAAACACACATGTATTTATGTAACCAAATTATCTTTAGTGAATGTATGAAGGTTCAGGTTGATCGGAGTTATTGGCCAGGTTAGCAAAATACATCCACGTTTGGGAAAATGAGATTCAAATAAAAAACCAAAAATATTAATAATAATTCATATTATTATTATTATTAATGATAGTTGGATAAATATTCAATTAAAATTATATGATTTAAAATAAATCGTATATGAAAATATAAGAATTTATAAATATAAAGATGTCTCTCCTCAGACCAATCAAATAAGAGTGTTGGATCCCAGCAGGGAGATGGGGGTGAGGAGGTCAACCTTCCCCCCCAGTCTCACCTCAGCAGCAAAGACCCAGCCGTAAATGGTGATGACAGCGCCCCCTGCAGCTCCCCTTCTCACCCATAGACAATAGAAAATAGAAAATGGACGGGCGCAGAAATTAACATTTAAGTCACGACGTAATGTCACAATCATGATGTTACAAACTAATGCATATAAACACACACACACACACACACATTTGTCCAATTAAAGATGGCGTCCAATCACATCCTCTCTCTCCTCTCGTCTGTTTTCCTCCTGACGGTCATATCAGTGACCGTTCTGCTTTCTTCTCAACAGTCTGTCTGACTGTTGACTTTAGCCTTGTTCCTGTGTCACCCCCCCGACCCTCCACCCCGTCCTCCCCCATCCTCCCCCCATAATTGCTTGCTAAGCTGTTTCAAAGGCAGGTGCAGTTTAACTGAAAGACTTCTCTGTTTTCACAGTAACTGCTTTAACCTGCCAACCGGTGTCGGGGTGTGTGTGTGTGTGTGTACGGTAGCATGTGTGGTTATGTGTGTGTGTGTGTGTGTTGAAGTGACGTCAGTCATCACGTCTGACAGCTCCCTTCCTGGAAACACACCTAAGAAAACACACACACACACACACACTCTTCACGTGTATGTGCGTTCTCAGCAACATGTGGAGGGTTAACTTTGACACAAACGTGTGTGTGTGTGTGTACACACAAACATGCATGCAGGCGCTCCTTTGAAAACGCACACACACACACACACCTCATCATGTTGCTGATGGAGGAAAAGCTGACGTCTCAGGAAAGTCAACATTTTGGGTGGCTGACCTTTTCTGATTGATAGCCTCGTTTGTGAAACTCCTACAACTTGGAGCAGATATAAAGGAACCTTTGAAGCCCTGTTTTCAGATGTGTAACACACAGCCGTAATGACAGGTTCTTGGGCAGACCAGGTCCTCAGGCTGTTTCATTTGTACCATTTTTTTTTTTTAAATATGTGGCCGTCCTGACTGTTTATTTCTGTAAAGAGAGACACGGAGAGAGAGAGAGAGAGAGAGAAATGAAATAATTAAAGTCGGTCCTCAGCCGTTAAAACATGTCATGAAAAAGATGTTTTCTTTTTTGTACAGCACAGGAACAAAACATGTTCAATTTTTTTAACTCATGAAGCAGAAATATTGCAGCAATGACATAAAAACGGAAGAAATTGTTGTTTTATTTCTGAACTGATAAATCCTGGACCGTGACGCACACACAACAAGAGTTTACACAGAACAACAAAACACATCAACAACCTGGAGGAAGTGACTCACCAACGCTGCTCCTCTAATGGAGTGGTTTAAAAGACAAAGACAAATAAAATGTAAGAAATAGCATCATATTATTTGATATGAAAAAATTTTTTGTTTGAATAATAGATATAACTTTTTAATGTCTGACCTGTAATATTAGAAGTCAGTTTTGATTTTTTTTGTTTCAAATGCTAATGACTGCCCCCTCTAAATCAATGTTACACTGGTTTTTTTTTAATTAACCTAAATCAAACAACAGAATCTCTAAAATGGTCCAAATGAAATATCCTGTCATGACGGTTCTGTCACATCTGAAAACACAGCTTTAAAGGTTTAATATTAAACAGCTCGTCTTAGCTAAAGCATAACTAAGTAAAATCATAGCAGCTAGAAGTTATATGAAAGGAGGGCTAACAAAAAATGTAGTTTTTAAAACCGACAGTCAATCTATTATGAGCATTAGAATTCTAAAGAAGAAGAAGAAGAAGAAGAAGAAGAAGAACTCTGGGGTTCCCTGTGTTCCACTCTGTCTCATTGTGAATTCCCTCATTTAAGAAAAACAGTCAAATTCATTCCTCACACAGATGGGACCAGGCAAGGTTGATTTCATTAAAATAGCCCATCTGTGTGAGAGACCAGGTGAGGGAAACAGAGAGAAGGGAGGGAGGGAGGGGAGGCAGGGAGAAGCCTGAGGGAGACAAAAAAAAAACAACAAGAAGAATCAACTTAAGAAACCTTCTTCTGTCCCACGATACATTTATAAAAAACAAATCTTCCTACTCTCCTGTGATTGTTCTGCTGAGAACTGAAATGGACAAGAGAAACGTTCTTCTTCTTCTTCTTCTGATTATTATTATTTTAATAAATTGAATATATATAAAATGGTACATTTCTGTCCTGCTACATAATCATAGAGTCACTGTAGAGCTGAGACAAAACAACATTTCCAAATATTTATTTTTTTGGTGGTACTGTATATAAAGACTGATGTTGATTCTAACGTCTCATCTAAAACTACTCTGTGAGTCAAACCTCCGGCATGGGGGCCGTTCGTGCCACTTGGATGGGTTTAATGTGGCCTGTAGCTCGTTTTATTATCTGTTTTTCAGACGAGGGGAAGTCAGTGTTTTCAAATGGCACTGGTTGATATTACAACAATACAAATATATTTTAGATTTATTTTGGATATTTTCATGGACTTTAGTTTAGTAAATGTATCCAACCTAACACTTATTCTTACTTAACTTTTTTGAATTTTATGTATTTGGTTTCTATCTTTCATGAAGCATTTTTATGCCTTTTTTTCCACTGAAAAATACATTTAATCTGTACTCGTTTGAAGATACTATTTGACTAATAATGTAAATAAATACAGTACAGGTCAGCTGACAACAGTAACTGACACAGTAACTGACACAGTAACTGACACAGTAACTGACACAGCAGTATAAATACATCTGTGAAGGTGATGTCTGAACAACAAAAATAAAAAATAATAAAATGAGTGTAGATCATGTTAAATGGAGTGAGTGTTCAACCTGCACACAGCCAATGTCAGCTGATCTCAGTTACACTCACACACATCCACAGTCTGTGCTGATGTATTGGACGGGGGGGGGGGGTTTCTCTCCCCCCTCGTCGTCTCCCTGCTGCTGTGTTTGTGGCAGCTACAGTTTGTATCACTTTCCTCCAGGAAAACAGGGAGTTTAGCTGACCTGCCGTAGGTGAAAACAAGCATTAAATGAAATGAAAAACCCCTCTCTTCCTCTGGGTCTGCAAAAAACAAATGAGGTCATGCCGCTTCGCCCCGCAGCTCTGGAAAAGATGTAACTTTCCCTCTCCTACGGAGCGTGATACCAGATTCCTCATGTTCAGAGGTGTAGTCCGGGGCGGCGTGCACCGCCCTGACCGAGGCTTCATAAACAGAAAGCATTAATAACGCTCCTCTGTGTGTGCGTCTCCGCATCGTCCTCCCCTCATTAACCCACGCTGTTACTTTATGTCTTCTAGGAGGATCAACTTTATCACCTCTGCAGGGAAATTCTGCTGGTCACCTGCAATAAAAAGGTTAGTCCATGAATTACACAAACAATCCCAACTTCACACACCTCATTTCCACTCGGTCATCAATCACACGCTCACCTGTGTAAACCTATACCCTAACGCCATTACTGGTGCGTACATACGCCGGGTCAGAGACGGGAGCTGCAGCAGCTGCTGCTGCTCCTGTTGGAGGTAGAGGAGAAACTGAGCAGAAACTCATCACAGTAGAAGTAGTTAGGAGAAACGGAGGAAATAAAAACACACAAACACTCTGAGGTCCAGCAGCTGAATATGATTGGTCACTGCATGTCAGGAGGAGACAACCACGAAGCACCTTTTGACCTTTCTGTCACTCCTCTGGACATCATACAGGGTCACTCACACTAATACTTGTATTTTCTCTGACTTTTTGACCCAAATTCAAAGTACTTACTGATCAGAGCCGTAGTTTCCAGAGCTGGGAGTGGATCAGCAGACTGTGTGACCCAGATACATCCAGATTGTTCTGTAACTCCTGGCTCAGTTTTGTAACATGTCCATCAACGTGGCTTAGATTTGTTTGATAATGACGATCATGTATGTGTGTGTGCTATACAGGGCTGCCAAAGTCAACATGATAATAATGAGTTAAGTAGAGATGAGATGAGGTCAGACCTGTGTGACCGGCAGTCAGGATCACGGATCACTGTTCTTCAAGTGACAATTTTAGCTTCAAACCTCCGCCTTAAACTCCTCCTGACATGTAGCTGTAGCTGCTGATGTGAACTGAGGTGTCAGCAGTAACTCGATCTGGAAAATGGAGAGCTCTCCATTGTGAACTGTGAGTCTACGATTGAGCTGAACTGAACAGAGGAGGTGAACAGCTGTCAGTCACACTGGTGGTTCCCAACAAAGAAACTCCGTCTTATTAATCCACCTATGAATAACCACGCAATTAATGGTACATTTCTGGCCTGCTACATAATCATAGAGTCACTGTAGAGCTGAGACAAAACAACATTTCCAAATATTTATTTTTTTGGTGGTACTGTATATAAAGACTGATGTTGATTCTAACGTCTCATCTAAAACTACTCTGTGAGTCAAACCTCCGGCATGGGGGCCGTTCGTGCCACTTGGATGGGTTTAATGTGGCCTGTAGCTCGTTTTATTATCTGTTTTTCAGACGAGGTGAAGTCAGTGTTTTCAAATGGCACTGGTTGATTTTATAACAATATAAATATATTTTAGATTTATTTCATGGACTTTTTGATACGTTTAGTAAATTCAATTTAATTTAATTTAAAATAAATATCATTGATATGACTTCTCTCATGTTTGCATGTCAAGTGCAGCTGCTCTGCCTTCACCTCAGGGTGAATCTAAAAAAAAAAAAAAAACACAACAATGAGACAAAGAGGAAACATTACACCTGGAACCCTGAACAATGTAAGATTATAATAAAAAAATAAAAATAAAAGCAGTTTCTGCTCCGCCCACATTTTTGAAATTTCACATCTTTAGTGAACTCCCCTCGTAAAACCTGCAACATTTCAAGAAACGGTTCTCAAGGAACAGTTGGGGTGTACACACTCTCTCAGTGATTGAACATTCCGTCTCTCCGTCTTCTCCCTCCCTGATTAGGCTCACGGAGCTCTCTGGTCTGAACACCTTTTCATTAACAGCACCGTCTCATGAAATGTTAATGTCCTGATGTGGTGACGTCAGGACATTAAAGAAACTCCTTGACTCTGTTTCCTGTGCTAGGTCTCTTTCTCAGCATCAGTAGTAGTAGCATTAGCAGCAGCAGCAGCAGTAGCAGCAGCATTAGCAGCAGCAGTCGTCCCACAGATAATGCACACTGGGCGTTTATCTTTACAGTGAATTATGGTACACAGCTCTCCCATTGACTCTCTGCACAAATGTGACTGTGTGTCTCTGAGTGTGTGTGTATATGCATAAGTGTTGAGTTATTACCCTGCACTGGCTGGTGTCTATGCTTGTGTGAGTGTGTGTGTGTGTGAGTGTGTGTGTTGAATTGAATTATAGCATTGCACTATCTCATTGACTTCAACTGAGTCCCATTTATCACAACTTAACCATGGAAAAAGACTATGGACAAAATGCTGTTTTAGCAGAGTGTGTGTGTGAGTGTGTGAGAGTGTGTGAGGGAGAGGGAGTGTGTGAGTGTGAGTTCAATAGTTTCTTAGAATGGCTGAATGAATGAGTGAATGAAATGTCACCTAGCTGCACAAAACCTGTCCATGTACCGCCCTTAGGCCCTGGGCCACAGTTTGGAAACCACTGCATGACTAACCATATTATAAGCAGACGGTCATACAGCAGCACTTGCTGTAATCAATAAGATATAAAGTAGATGTGTTTGTAAAGCCCCTCCGTGTTGTTACTGTATATATATATATATATCTAATCCATTCCTGTTGACCTTTCACTGTAATAACTGAGCTCTTCTCTACGCATCTGTGAGGAAAGGTCAGGAAAGGTCAGCGTGGAATGGAAATGGAATCAAACATCAGCAGAACACAGACTGGATCTGACCGATAACAGACATGATTCTCATTTGTTCCTGGGTCAGAGCTCCAAAATGTAGTTTTCTCTGCAAGGATTTGACGACAGCCATGATTTTCGACACCCCGGAAATAATATCCCTGTGTGTCTCACAGGACGGACGAAGGCTGGAGGGACGGGGGTGAGGACGATGATGACGGCAGAACGAAGAGGTAAGAAGTGTTTTATTTTTTTAAATCTCAAATGTATTTTCCTGCTCAGCAGTGACTCAGTCGTCCGTTTGGTGGAGTAGAGTTCCAGCAGTGAGGATGTAAACAGCACAAATACAGGGTTTTTATTTCACTTTGAGCCTCTCTCTCTCACACACTCACACGCGCACGCAGAGAGTGTGATCCTGAGTTTACCTCCACAGTGACAGTTTAATAACAGCAGTTGTCTCTTTGGTTTATGGCTGGCACTACAATCACACCTGCATTCAGTGTTTCAGCTCCTGCTTTGGAAACACACTGATCACTTTCTCTCTCAGAATCATCCGCCAACCGGCCTCCTCCCCTGACTTTCCGTCTTT